GAGTATTTCTGAAAAGCAGAGACCTAGGCAACTAGAAAGCTGGGTGGCGAGAGCAGTTTGTAATTGACTGCTATAAAAAGGATGGGTGGTTCCAACCCACCCTGTGTCAGCATGCAAGCCTGACTATCTGTGAGTCTAGGAATTACAATGCCATCCTATGCAGCATGGCTCACCATGAGTCAGCAGCCAACTCAATGTTAGCTACCATCTGACATCTGAGAATAGATAGGAGAAGAAAACAAGTATAATCTGAATGAATCATAAATAGAAAATGCAGAGCTTGTATAAAATTATTATATCAGTATTCAACAGCATGGAAATTAGATGCATTAAAAAACAAAATGATTTCTTAAATAGAAGTATTTATTGTCACAAATATTTAAAATTTGAGCCATAAAATGAAAGAGTAGACTGTTCTTATATATATTTACTATACATAAAACACTAAGTTTTTTTACTTCATTCATTCAGCTCAATGCAAATAAAGACAGGAAAAATCACTTATAGGCAATCCTGTTGATAGCAGCAGAAAATCATAATTGACAGTGATTACTTAAATAGAGTCCAAAATCCACATAGAATGGTAGATGGGCCAAAAGAGTAGAAAGAGTGATCACAGCATCACTAATACAACGAACTTCAACAGAAATGCTGAACTATCAGTTGAAACACTCACAACAAATCCCGGCTGGGAAGGTAATTAGTGTGCAGCTCATACATGGTGGGTTATTGCATATGTATGACTCTTAATGCAAACACTCAGCACTTTCACAGAGGGAATTTTTAGGTAACCAGGTTATTCATATCCATTGGGCTTAAATGATTCCACATTTTCCTTTTTCTGAAAACTGAATCTAAAAGGATTGCTATATTTCTTAATATACTTGTAAGCACCAATATATTACACCAATACACTCATTTGCAGATATTGTAGATTTTTCAAATTAACTTATGAACAGCAACCATAGTTTTGTGGTTTTTTATAGTTTGGAATGAAAATGTGTCTATCTACAAAATGGTGCCATTTTTCTATGGAATTAAAGCATGCAATTTCATCCACACACAATTACAAACAATCAAACACTGAAAAGCATACACTAAGGCAAAACAAAACGTCACACATTTAATATATATCCCAAAGTGCCCTCCCACCTCAAAACACACACACAGACATATAATTCTCAACCTCAGTTTTTCTTATCAGAAAGTCTACTGCCCATTATTTAAAGAAACTTCAATTTTTCTTACTGCATATCTTTAATTATAATCATTTTGCCTTTGTATATAAATTGTCTTTTCTTATACACCCATTTAGGGAATTATAGAATTTAGGGAAATGATATGCTGAGGAAAAAGAAAGACTAGGATGAATATGTATTTAGTTAAACTAGATAAAACTCAAGACACACAAATCAAAATTTCTTCCCAGATAACTAAATGCCATGATGTGGAAATTATTTCTGTATGAAAATTTTAGGATCCAAGCCATTGATTGGATGTTTAAACCTTACATGAGATACATATATATTTTCTCACCTAATTCTTTTGAACAGTTTCCACTTTACAAAGTTCAGTCCTTCATATCTCCAGAATTAAAGACATTTCTGTTTTATTTCTTTTAGGTTAATATATCCCTAAGTATACTAATATCAAGAGAGCATTCTTTTATTTTTATTCTCAGGAGGGATGTCTAGAATATCATCTTTCATATCAACATCTAAACTAATATTTTTTCCCCTCTAATTAAATAGCAAGACATTCAGTCAGTATGTTTTTAGTATCCACAACTTTCCAGATCCCTCTAAATCTGTGGTGTCTTGCTTATAGATTTTCAATAGGATTTTTTTCGGCATTTACCCTGGCACCTTTGTAGAAGTTGTTGTAGTTGTTTATGTGCCGTCGAGTCAGTTCTGACTCATAGCGACTTTGTACAGGGTTTCTGAGGCTGTAAATCTTTACGGGAGCAGCAAGCCTCATCTTTCTCCCGCAGAGCAGCTGATAGTTTTGAACAGCTGACCTTGCGGTTCACAGCCCGATTTATAACCACTACGCTACCAGAGCTCTTTTGTAGAAGAAGGACAAGTTATTCTTGCTTTCGGCACAGGCAGTCTCCAGTGCCATTACTAAATCTGGTTTTAAGTCAAGTTTGTACGTAGTCAGGGCAGTTAAGCGTGGTTCGTATCTAACAACAGTTATTAAAATGTTTTTCTTAATAACAATGTATCATTCTATGTATAAAAACATAATAGAACAACTTCCAGATATGCTAAAATATATTTAACATAATAATACAGTATTATTAATAATACTGTTTTGATGTGTGCCACAAAGTAGTGCCATTTGTTACAAACCACTGCATATGTACCTTGAACATTCAATATGATAGGCTTTACAAGGCTTGGTTCCTAATTATAAGTTGTACAGAAGTTGGATGTTTGTAACCTGGAGACTACCTGTATCCCAGTTACTGCTTCATCCTGTGTATAAAACAAAAGACCAAATGTGGACTGGATCACCCTTCTCTGCTGGAGCTTCTAAGAAAGATTCTTATTCTTTGCAATCAGTAACTCTCTGTTAAAGAAAGTAGACTTACCTGTCAATGTGTCTGCTAAAAGGAAAAACTTCACAGTCTAAACTTCCAGCAGAATTCTAGTTGCTATAAAAGATAAATAAAGCCAAGTATCTTTATTCCCTCAAATTGACTTAAAGTCTATCTTTTCTAGAGGAAAGTGGTTAAAACTGAATCAGACAGAATATTTCAGAAAGAAATATGAACTCATAAAGATATATGAATTGAGAAAGAATACTTCAGACAGAAAAATTGGGGCAAAATCTTTGCAACACCACAGGAACTAGAATTTAAAGAACATCTTTTTAATGGTTGAAACTAGTCTTTCCAAAGTCTCTTTGTAAACAAGACATACTATAGCTACAAATGCACATTCTACTCTTTATAATCTTGCATACAATATTTCTTTTATTATCATTTACATCTTTTAATACTAACATAGCAGTCTCAGGTTGTCAAACTTAAGTTGCAACTAGGTAAAATGTTGAAAGGCTACTCAGATTTTCAGAACAGTGGCAGAACTTGGAAATGACAAAGTCCTTAAACATAGAGACCTAAAACATGCTACAAAGAATATCCACTTGCATATGACAAAAATATAAAAGCCTGTATTGTTAGAAAACAAGAAAATATGCCTACTGTCACTGTACAAACGGTTCCACAGAGAAAGAAACTGAAGTAATGATTATCAAATGGCTCAAAATCCAATAAATCAATCATTTATTTTCCATTATTAAATGTCTTTCAAAATATTTGGTGTTTATAAAGCATGATGTACTATTAACAATCTTGGGGTCTGTCTCTTGTAATGCGACAGGGACAGAGACACTGCTGAGGATGCTGCTGGTAAAAGTTGATGAGGAAGACAGGAGAATCCAACGCCCATGATGTGTGTACAACATCCACTTCTCTGCTGAATTTGCCATCAGGGAACCAAGTGAATTGGTACCAAATTGATTCATGCCTGAGCCAGGTCTGAAGAAACTAAAATCAATTCCATTTTGTAAGTGATGACTTTTAAAAAGTATGTATTTTCTGGTTCAAAGTTTGGATTTTAATGGCATTTTAGTAATCCTTTAGAAAAGTGCTGCTGGTTAGGACAAAAAAGTAGTGTCATTTATTCAGCTAAAAGGTAAGGTGTCTTTTGTTTTGTTTTGTAGAAATAAAGCATATTAAATCTTCATTTTATAGATTGATGTTACCAAATGTTCCGATGTAGCTGGTGCTTAAGTGCAAAGACTTTATTTGCTGCCTGTAAAGTAAAAGGAATGTTACTAAAGCTCAGAAAATAGTGGGATTATGAAACTGTTAATACTAAATTTCTATGTATCCAAATCACACTTTCTATTGTTCAGCCTAATTTCTCATGCTGTGTGGAAAAATTCCCTAATGGAGCTCTGGATAAAGCAGTTCATAATCGCATTCCAGAAAGCTATATGGGAGGCTGTTGTGGGGGGCATGCTAGTCCATTGTAAATGCTCCTGTATTTTCACACTTGGCTCTCCCTCCAGACCATCTCCTCCTTAGGGTCCTTAGTGTACAGTGTAGCATGTACTACTGCTTTCATAAAGACCATTCGTTTATTCTCTCTACCATCCTAGACTTCAGCTCAGAGACCAAATCCGCTTCTACAGCTTTCCTACAAAGTCTTAGATCTTGTCTGCGTATACCTGTTTTTCCCTCTAAACTGCGAGTGATTTCGTTTTATGTATTGAAATCTATTTTCCTGTATTTTATATTCAGGTTTTAGGTCATGAATTTTTATCATTCATCAGAGCTTCTAAACACTAAATTTTGAAAAACACACGGCTACCAAGTCTTCATGTAATAATCCTGCTTTTATATTAATAGTTTATCTTTTACTTCAATTGCATCAAGTTTTATTTTACAAATAGTATGAATCTTATTTTCACTATAATTTTTATTGCTTTTAGGTCTCTTCTTACTTCTATTATGGGTCAATTAATTAAGACTTAATTAATAAACTATTTAATTTTTCTTTTTATTTATGTTTCCTTTGTAAAATGTTATAAATTTCAATCTCTTGAAAAACTACTATTTTTAAACTTTTATAGATTACTATAATATTGTATTATAATTTTTATAACTTAATGTAACATAGGATATTATTTATATTAAAATCAGATTATTTACATAACTATAAATAATATAAATGAATATATTAGAATTTTAGACATAAGCTATATTTCTACTAACTTCACAAAAATGACAATCACATATTTTATCATATTTCTCCCAGAATGTCATTTGTGTCTTAATTTATATTACATTCAGCATATAATATGTTATGTATTAAGAATGAGAGTTCCCTAGGCATGTCCAGAAATATTTATGATTTAATTTGTAACCCCTCTTTGACAAAATGAAAACAAGTAATAAGGAAATGTTTCTCAGCAAGTGTTTTCTGCATATACTTACTTATTTTACTTTCTTTGATACGCATGCACAGTATGCAATCATAAAAGCCACAAACATCACCACACCAACACCGATCAAGGCCATTTCAACTGTGCCAAGGAGGCTTATTTTTCCAGTTACTTTATTTCGGAACATTTCTGCTTTCTCATCACCGATGGTGGCAGTCTGTAATCAAGTTAACAGTTACTGTTATGTGGGTAGAGTAGTGAAGAAAAACATTCAAATCTTCCACATACCTCTAAACACCTGCATATGTGCTAGCCACCTGCATTTATCAAACAAATCAAAGGAATTCCCCCTGCATGCTGAAAAAAAATGCAGTAAATTCCAAGAGTAGGTATTTTAAAAGTGAACTGCAACTCCCTTCTTATTAAATCCATTGTACAGCAGTCTTAAATGCATTAGGCTTCACCTGATCTTCAAAACCTCTTGTATAAGGTATGTATCAGTTATACACATTGTAGTTTCCAGAAACAGAGGGAAACATCAAAGAGTCAATAGTTATAGCCCTCTAAAATCTATGCAATGCATTTCTTAATTCTGTAGATTTTCGAATAAATATAATAAATGGTAATACACTAAAAATTTTACAAAATAAATAGAATAAATGCTAGTACACTAAAAATAGCTTGCTGGGCAGTAGAAGAGTGTCTATGCCTGTTCTACCTGTCCTTTACAAACATAACAGGCTTGTATTGCTGTTGTTGTTTGCTGTGGTTAGGTCGCCATTGAGTAAATTCTGACTCACAGCGACCCTATGCACAACACAACGCAATCCTGCAGAGCCCTGCACTATTCTCACAATGGTTCTATTTGAGCCCATTATTGCTGTGACTCACTGGATCGTCTTATTGGGGGTCTTCCTCTTTTTAATGACTCTCAACTTTACCAAGCACCATAACCTTCTCCAAGGACTGGTCTCTCCTGACAACATGTCCCGAGTACAAGAGAAATTTTGTTATACTCGCTTCTAAGGAGCACTATAATATTTATTAGATTTTAATTTATTTGGAATTACATGTATGCATGCTTCTTTCCTAAGAAAATCTCTAAGCCAAGAAAAATAGTTTAATATGCATTTTGAAAATAATATAAAGTAATAGAAAGTATCTTGCTTTTCTAAAAGATAAAACTGAACACTTGAACACTAACACAACTTGGTATTTCTGTGTGATGTGATTTTCTCAAATAGATATAGTAAACAATGTATAAACTCATCAGGATTTACTTATGGACAACAAAACACTTGAGGGGTTTCAAAAAGTTTGTGGAAAAACTCCTTTATCTTTGTATTCCCTTTTTACATGAAAGTTTTAGCCCTAGTATATAGCTTCAAATACTATTGTTGTTGTTGTTGTTAAGTGCCGTGGAGTCAGTTCCGACCCATAGCGACCCTGTACAGGGTTCCCGAGGGTGTAAACCTTTACGGGAGTAGAAAGCCTCATCTTTCTCCCGCAGAGCGACTGGTAGTTTCGAACTGCTGACCTTAAGGTTCGCAGCCCAATTCGTAACCACTACACTACCAGAGCTCCTTAGTATACATGCACAAATTACTTTGAAATATCAAAAGTCTTTTATATAACAAATGTTTACTGCTTTAATAACGAACAGATTAAAATACTAACCTCATTTAGCCACAGAATAGGCACAATGTAGTTCTTCTTCAGATTCTTTAATGCCCTATAAAAGACATTGAAGATCATTATGAAATATATGCTAATATATGTGTATATATATAACAAAGATTTTAATCATTGTTAATTCTGCTATGCATAAGGTCACTATGGGTCAGTTCCATCTCAATGGCACCTAATAACAACAACAACTTAAGCAAATGTTCACATATAAATTGCTCTTGATAACTGGGTTAGTTTCTTGATTCGTTGTGGTTCAAACCCACCAGCTGCTCCTTGGAAACCCTACATAGGGTCACTGATTTCATGGCACTTAGCAACAACAGTTTGTCTTTTACATTTTACTATATCACAGTTTCACAAAAATAACATGCACAATATATGGATTTTATAAACAATGCAACCACCTTATGAGTTCATTTCCTGTGTAAGCTTTGTAAATTGGCATTTTTTATGAGAAAATATGATAGCTGTTTCTCAAATTTTTTCCACTCTTATAATTCTTTCTAATATATTAGATTAACTCTTTCACAAGATAAGATTTTCCCTTTCAATAAATTCTTCTCTCAAAGGTATAATATGAATCCTATAAATGATTACTATATAAATATTTTCACAGCTAGAAAAAGCAGGGCTATAACCAAAATTCAAATGGAAAGCACTCTAAAATATGTATACCATTTCAATCTGAGCCCTGGTGTGACTCTGTAGCATAAACATTCCATCACAGGGTTGGTTTGGACCACAAGGTTCGTGGTTCAAACTCACCAGGAGCTCCTCAGAAACCCTATAAAGGGGTGGTCAGTTTCAGAACGGACTCAATGGCACTTCACAACAACAACCACTTCAATCAGCACGAGATGTGGTTTTAAATTTTGTTAGTACTTAATAAAGACTGTTTAAGAAAAGTTGACTTCTGATAATTTTCCATTCACTTTCATTGATTCACTCACATTCTTGCAAGAAAATACTAAAAGTCATACAAGGATAACCTTGTTCAAGACACTTACTCAATTTTTTTGGCTGGCTTGACCAATATATTCACCTGGAGCCGTTTAGCAAACTGTAAAGTGAATCCAGTTATCTAAAAAAGAGAAGGAAAAAATCTTTTGGAATGTCCACAATAAGTATAAAAGAACATATATCAAACAGTTTTAATTTAATTAGAAAACATTTCATTATTAGTGTCACTGACTCTATGAACTGTTAGAAAGGTTAGTAAAGTTCACACACTGAAAAATTGACATTGAGTTATCTTCACATTTTGTATGTTACAATTGGAAGAAAGCAATGTAATTTTTGCTGAATTGGCAGTTTTAATAAACAAGAAAGGAACAATATGATCAATAAACTGATTAAAAAGGAGAGATTTTTTTTTCTTTCATTTTTATTTTTAAATACTAATATTAACAATATCAGATCATTAATATATTTGCTTACAGGTTCAATATCCAAATATGTCCTATGTTCTTCTTCATTTGGATTCAAGCCTTCTATTTTTTCTGCAATCTCTGGACTTGCGTGTAGAAAATGAGGAAGTGAAATGTACACAGGTTTTCCTGGGAACAAGGTTCAAGAGACAATTGAAGTAGATGAACCGACTCCACGGCACATAACAACAACAACAACAACAACAACTCATAAAAGATTTTGTTTCAAATAATAAAGCTGTTTAAATTAATAAACAATGCAGTCAAAGGGGCGTCAGGATCACTACTGTATAAAAATCAAATATGAAATTCTGACTCTTTAACCAACCAGTCATTTAATATTTATTGGTCACACAAAATGCTGTAAATGTTCAATATGTAAGGTGAGACTCTTAACACAAAACTTTCCTATTAATGCTAGTGTGAGATGATATCTCATTGTTGTTTTGAATTTACATCTCTCCAATAACTTATGATCATTAGCTTTTCTTCATATGTTTGCTGGCTACCTATATGCTTTTTTTAAAAAATGAACAGTATGTTCATAATGTCTACCAATTTAAATTGTATTACTTGTCTTTTTGCTGTTGAGGTGTTGAAGTTTTCTATAGATTTTAAAGATTAGTCCCTTATCACATGTGTCATTGTCAAACTTTTTCCCCACAATCTATGGGTTCTATTTTTACTCTTTTTGTGAACTCTTTTGATACACATAAGGTCCCAGTCATTTAATTTATTTTCTGTTGTTTGTGTGTTTTGAGTTACATTTGATAGTATATTTATTCCATGTATTCTGACATCGAAGGAGCCCTGGAGGACCCGTGGTGTGGCACTGTAGGATAAGCACTAGACTGCAAATCACAAGGACAGCAATTCAAAACAACCAACTGCTCCTTGCAAATACTATGCGGTTGTTAAGTGCTGTTGAGTCAGTTTCAAATCATAGTGACCCTGTGTAGGGAATCTGAGGAATGGCTGGTGAGTTTAGAACCACCAAACTTGTAGTTCAACTCGACCTGGTCATCCAGTGCTTATTCTACAGTACCACATTGGAATGCCTGGAAACACTACACAGGGTATGAGTCAAAACGGAATCTACAGCACTTAATCTAATTAACTAAACTTAACAACAGCAAGGGACCTGGTGGCATAGTGGTTTCCATGTTGGGTTGCAAACAGCAGGGTCAGCAGTTTGAAACTAGCAGTCACTCCACAGAAGAAAGATAAGGCTTTCTGCTGCCATAAATATTTACAGCCATGTGAGTTATAACCGACCCTACAGCAGCATTAAGGTCTCTAAATTTGTCTCTGTTTTCCCATTGATACTTTTTTAAAATCATTTTTGGTTTTATATTTATGATTTAGATCATTGATCTACCTTGAATTTGTTTTTGCATGTTGTTGTTGTTAGGTGCCATCGAGTCTGTACTGACTCATAGAAACCCTATGCACAATAGAATGAAACATTGCCTGGTCCCGGGCCAATCTCACAACCGTTGTCATGCTTGAGCCCATTGATGCTGCCACTTTGCCAATCATTTCACAAGGGGTCTTCCTCTTTTTTTCTGACCCTCCACCTTACCAAACATGATGTTTTCCTTCAGCGACTGGGCCCTTTTGACAATATATCCAAAGTATGAAAGATAAAGTTTGGCCATCGTGGTCTCCAAGGACCACTCTGGCTGAACTTCTTCCAACACAGATCTGTTGGTTCTTTTGTCAGCCCATGGTACTTTCAATAGTCTCCTTTAACACCATAACTCAAAAGCATCAATTCTCCTATGGTCTTCCTTATTCACTGTCCAGCTTTCGCATTCATATGCGGTTACTGAAAATACCATCGCTTGGGTCAGACACGCCTTAGTCCTCAAGCTGACATCTTTGCTCTCCAATACTTTAAAAAGGTTTTGTGCAGCAAATTTGTCTAATACAATACATCATTTGATTTCTTGGCTTCCACTTCCATAAGTGTTGATGGTTGATCCAAAAACAATGAAGTCCTTGACAACTTCAATCTTTTCTCCATTGACAAGAATGTTGTTTATTAGTCCAGTGGTGAGGATTTTTGTTTTCTTTACATTGAGATGCAATCCATACCAAAAGCTGTGCTCTTTGATCTTCATCAGTATATGTTTTAAGTCCTCTTCACTTTCAGCAAGCAAGGTTGTATTATCTGCATATCGCAGGTTGTTAATGAGTCTTCCTCCAATTCTGATGCCACATTTTTCTTCATATAAGCCAGCTTCTCAGATGATTTGCTCAGCATACTGGTTGAATAAGTATGGTGAAAGAATACAACCCTGTTGCACACCTTTCTTAATTTTAAAACATTCAGTGTTCCCATGTTCTGTTCGAACAACTGCCTTTTGGTCTATGTACAGGTTCCACATGAGAACAATGAAGTGTTCTGGAATACTCATACTTTGCAATGTTGTCCATAGCTTGTCATGATCCACACAAATGAAAGACTTTGTATAGTCAATGAAGCACAGGTAAACATCTTTCTGGTATTCTCTGTTTTCAGCCAAGATCCATTGGGCATTAGCAATGATATCCCTCGTTCAACATCCTCTTCTGAGTTCTCTGTCAATGTATGATTGTAGCCATTTCTGTATTCGTTTTAGCAAAACTTTACTCGCATGGGATATCAAAGATATTGTCTGATGATTTCCACATTCTGTTAGGTCACCTCTCTTTGGAATGGGCACAAATATGGATCTCTTCCAATCAGTCAGCCAGATAGTTGTCTTCCAAATTTCTTGGCCGAGATGAGTGAGTGCCTCCTGTGCTGCCTTACTTTCTTTAAAGATTTCAATTATTATTTCATCAATTCCTGGTGCCTTGTTCTTTGCCAGTTCCTTCAATGCACCTTTCACTTCTTCCTTCAGTATCATTGACTCTTAATCATATGCTACCTCTTGAAATGGTTGGACATTAACCATTTCCTTTTGGTACAGTGACTCTGTGTATTCATTTCATCTTCATTTGATGCTTTCTGCATCATTCAATAATTTGCCCAGAGAATCCTTCAATAACAAAAGTCGAGGCTTGAATTTTTTCTTCAGTTCTTTCAGCTTGAGAAATGCTGAGCATGTTCTTCCCATTTGGTTTTCTGACTCTAGATCTTTGCACATTTTGTTGTAATATTTGGCTGTGTCTTCTTGAGCTGACCTTTGAAATTTTCTGTTTAGCTCTTGTACCTCCTCATTTCTTCCATTTGGTTTAGCATCTCTATGCTGGAGAGCAAGTTTCAGTGTCTCTTCTGATATCCATTTTGATCTTTTCCTTCTTTCTTGTCATAATGACTTGTGCTTTCTTCCTGTATAATATTCTTGATATCATCCCATAATTGTTCTGGTCTTCAGCCTTTAGTGTCTACTATATCAAATCTGTTCTTCAGATGATCTCTAAATTCAGGTGGGATATATTTTGCCTCTTGTGGACTTGTTTTTATATATAGTGTGAGATATAAGCTCTGTTTCATTTTTCTGCAAATGGATGTCTGTTTTGTCAGCATCATTTGTTAAAGAGTCTATCTCTTCCCCATTTAAAGAGTTTTAGCCTTTTGGTAAATATCAATTGCAAAGGTACATGCATTTACTTCTAGTTTCTCAATTCTGTCCTGTTTGTCTATATATGTTTTTACTTTAATATTAGAACTTTACATGGAAAGGATTTAAACAAAAACCTATATTTTAAAGAATGTGCAAATTATGCCATAGACTAAAATATTGAAAATAGCCACTCACCTTCTTTGCATTTGCCAATGTCTAGCACACCATATAGTGTGCAATTCTCTGAGATAACTTTTTCTGTACAGAAACAATGGTTGTCTGGATTTTGAAGTGGAGATGCAAAGGCCTTGGATGGAAGAATAAATCTATACACAGGAATTCCTTTCAGATCAATTTCAGTACTAAACACAGCATAGATTGACCTAATAATAATAATAACAAAAGAATGTCATTGCTGGCATCTGGAATACATTCTGGAGATTTTTCTTTTTATATTTTTAATTTGATTTAGGAAAATCATATACTTTTGTTAATTTCTAGGAAAATAGTTCCTATAGAATTTTAAGACATTCCAAAACTTGACACCTGATCATGAACTTTTCTTACTCTTGTTCTGAAAAGATTCTGAAACAAGCTTTATGTTTGTGAAGTACCATGCAGTACTGATACCCAAGAAACCTCCCAGAGTGAATTGTCCATATATAGTAAATATTTTTATGAATTCCTTTAAATCCCTTATTTGTGTCCACTTCAAATGAAATAAGAATAAACCTCCAGTTTTTCTAACATAATCCTGGAAAGAAAGGCCATTCGGTTGCTTTGGTATGTGCACATGCCTGCCTGATATAGATCTCATATACCTCCATCGCTTACCAAGTGGTCGCCATGGCTTAGGGCTCAATACTCATCCTTCTAATCCCTTGGAAGCACTGCTATCTTCAATTTTGCAGTTAAGGGAAGCAAGAATCAGAAATAGTAAATGCTTCCCCATAACCATACAATCTTCAGGGACAGGACAGGGTTCAAGCACAGTGGCATGAACTCCACTGTCAGTGTTGTATTGACTGGGCCTCATCAATTTAAACTATTCTGTAAAGTATATTAACGAACATAGTTCTACAACACTTTCATTATCATCTCAGGAATCTTTTATAAAGATTGTGCATGTTCTTCTGGACTGAATTTATATTATTATATATACTACTAGTTTAAAGAAAAAAGAACATCAATTCTTGCTGACAGAAACTGAAAATAAAAATAGTTTGCATTATGCTTAATATTCTACTGCCATTCTTCCAGTTTCAAAGATATAATAGACACTAATAGACACACTGTTGTTGTTAAGTGCCATTGAGTCATTTCTGGCTTATAGTGACCCTGCATAGGGTTTCCAGGTAGTGGTTAGTGAGCTTTAACTGCCAACCCTGTGGTTCAAACCAACCTTGTAGTCCAACGCCACATGAGGACTCCCTTAGGAATTCTATATTTATTTACTTTTTTAATTGAGAAAAAAAAAATCCCCTAAGTAATTTTTTCCCAAAATGACATGTTTACTAAATATGACCTTCTTGGTCTATATCTTATCAATGGGAGAAAAAAAATTAAGATTCACAGAAACATATTGATATCTTTTTTACCTGCATATGTCAGAGGAAAAGAATTGTAACACCCGGCTCTTCTCAACAAAAGGAGGAAATGAGGCTGCATCTGTTGAGAAATCAAGCAAATAATATGAGATTTAATGTATGTTCTAGAAAAATCTGGAAACCTCTATTGCAGTGAAGTCCAATTGAAGTATGATATGATGCAAACCACACAGGGTACTTTAAATTTTCTATTAGATACACCTTTTAAAAAGTGAAAAGAAAGGGTATACCTTTTTATTTTTCATTTAATTCAATGTATTTAACTCAAAGTATTCCATATATTATCAATTCAACATGCAATTACTATAAAATAATAGTTGCTATTATGAAAAGCTGGGTGCATTTTACACTTAGAGTACATTTCAGTTTGTTCTAGTCACATTTCAAGTACTCAGTAGCTACATGTGGCTGTTGTTGGTGGTGATGGTGCTGTAAAGTCGACTCATAGCTACACTATAAAGTAGTGTATAAACATTTCCATGGAGTAGTTGGTGGGTTTGAACAACCAATCTTGCAGTTCAAACTGACCTTACAGTCCAGTGTTTATCCTGCAGTGTCACACCAGGAGTCGTAGTAGTAATTGTATCAAAAACCACATCTATATATTATATACATTAACTGGTATTTGATTATATATTAAATTTTTTCACTTTTTAATGTGAAAGAACATTTAAAAAAGAATAGTGAAATTATCCATTGCTGAAACTGTGATTGTTTTGAAACTCCACTGCCTGCTTCATCAGTAGAGTGGCGTTTTCTTACCATGAAGTTCACTTAGAATGCCTATTCTATATGAGAGTAAGTCACAAAGTACTGTTACAAAATTAAAGTAATGTTTGTTAAATAAAAAACATCAAAGTGTGAAGTTATTGTTTCCCTTCCTTTTAGGTTTACATAATTCTGAAGGTAGTGTTTTCATAACTCTAACCCTTCCTGAAGAATTCTGTGCTCTTTGATTTATAACATGTCAAATGGTAGTTTTGACATTGTTGAGAGAACCAAATTGCTTTTCTTTTCAATGTTCTTTGAATTTCAGAAACAAAAACAAATCTGAAGGAGCCGTGGGGTAAGATTTACTAAGAAAATTCTTGTAGAATGGACCTTGCAAAGAATGAGCAGGTAAATTGTAGTGATAGGAAAAAAAAAAAAAAAAAATCCTGAGCCCAATTTTCCTGACCTTTTGCTTACCAATGTACTTTTAAACTTTCTTAAAACTTCTTCCTCTGTGATCAACCTGTGTCCTTCAAGAAAATCTATCAAGATTACCTTTTCAGAATCCAAACCTGTTGTCATAACCTGAGATGACCTCTCTGCCTTGAATTTAATTGGTACAAAAGATTCCCTCATAAGTCACGGTTCTGATTGGACCTATCTTTTGTAGGCACCCTACTGAGGCTAATACAGTTAAAAGAACTTGTCTTTGGCAATACACTGTTCACAGACACATGTTTAAATACATTTAGTTGGCAATTTGTATGCTCTGGAATGATAATATCAATATTTTTTTACTTTTACTTTCAAATTTACATTACTCTTATTTCTGATCATTATTTATCTGCCTAGTGACAACTGAGGGATCCTGGTGTGGTGCCACGGTATAAGCACTGAGCTGTTAACCACTAAGTTGGCGGTTCAAACCCACCAACCACTCCTTGGAAACCCTATACAGGGTCAGTATGAGTCAGAATTGACCCAACGACACTTGACAATAACAACAGTGACTACTGAATGCTTTAAAGGCTATTTTTACTAAAGTTTTCTCACTTAGAATTCTCTGCCAATAGTATGAATATGTTGTTTTAGGTGCCATGGAGTCAGACCTAACTCAGACTCATAGACATATGGACTTACATATCTATCAAATTGAACAGGAAATTTATTTAATTTGTTGACTTTCTAACATGGGTATGAGTCTATGACACCCACTAGATATATAAAGAAATAACAGATAACACCTTCATTTGTTTCTCAAATTCATATCACCAAAATTAATTCTTACTCACTGTGCCTGTTTTAATTAACTAGGTTCTTTCTCAACTTTGTGACCTTGCTATAATTTTACCATTTGTCCCTTTGTGATCACTACTTGATCCTGTGACTTGAGATAATTGGAAATTAAATTCTAGCTTAAATTTTCCAAATAGGTCTCCATATGAGCATTGCCCATCAATGCCTTCCAAGCAACATCTTTACAATTAAATAAAAAGAATACCCATAGAAGCTCTAGAAATCGTTGTCTGACACATCAATAAGAATTTTATCTTAACTATATCCAGCAATTACAATGAGGAAAAATCACAAGACAGCTGATACTGTCAGAGAAAGATGATGCTTTCTGGTCACATAATTACAGATTCAGGGTCACTATAAGTTGAATCAAATTGACGGCAGTGAGTTAGAGCTGAGATTAGCAGAATTTTGTTATTGTTATTTTAGAAAGAAACACTCTAAAATATACTCTCACAATAGCATTTTGTTTTTATGTTTCTTCATATTTTTAAAAGAATTTAGAGGAAGCACTTTTAAATCACAATAAAAGCACATGAGAATCTTTTCTTTTGTGTCCTAACCAAAAATTTCTCTCACAAGGATCATGTCCCAGTGCTCTGCCATTTCCCATTGATTTCTGTTCCCTATGCTTTATGTCTAGTTTCTTCATTTTTTGTTGTTGTTATGTGCCGTGGAGTTGATTCCTTAATGTCATGTCTGATACTCATGGGGTTATACTATCATTGTTAATTAATTTTCTATTGTTAAAAAATATCTACTTCTCTGCTTCGGACAATGCTGTTTAACAATTAAAAAAAAAAATGGTTTAAGTGCATAAACTCCTTCACTATTTGGGGACAGCAAAGTATATTTATCTCTGTATCTGAGGATGGAATCACTATACTTATGCAATTACTACTTGGATACTTGACACTTTATTTGCAAAAATGCTTTATTCAATAAAGAATGTATTTACTCACTCCCACAGCTCCAAAATCCATAAAGTAAATCAAGCAGTTATTGCTTTTTTTCTACAAGTGAGGGATAATAAAATTAAATAAGCATGTAAAAGTCAATCGTATGTTTCAGATGTAAATTTTCTACTTCTTCTAACATCTTCCTTTTTGCTTGACTTTCCATTGACCCATATTCATCTTTATTATGCCATCATTTGTCTATATGATACTGACTTGGTAAACAGCATGCTTCTGCTCCTTAGTAATCCCAAATTCCCCTTTAACTTTAATCACCTCACAGAATTAGATTCCCATTGTTTTTAAAAGTCCTCATACTTAAGCTACTAGGCGTAGTCGTACTTTACGTGTTCTTCAAGGGAAGTAATACACCAGACTGAGCCACACCCTAAATTCTTAGTGTTTTTTTCCCCCAGTTCTAATCTACAATACTCATTTTTTTTCACATATTTTCCGTGATTATAGATACCTAATCTTAGTTTGTTTTTTCTGTCTTTTCTCTCTTAATTTGACCTTCTTTCCCAAAATAGATGACTCTATCTTATAATATTATTACTTCTACCTCAGTTTTAAACCTCACTTCTATTTTTTTTCCCTTTTGTAATGTTCTTGTTTTTTTATTCTTTCAATTCCAAGTTTTTAGGAATACAATGTCCTTAATAATGTACTAAGAACAAATCCTCATGGTTTATCTTTAGGAAGCTTGTCACATTAAACAGACATGTATTAAGCTTATGTTAAAATAGAGACTATAGTACACTGTGGGGATACTCCACACCCTCAACTTTGAAAGCACAGTAGATGAGATGTCGGATTTGTGGTAGAGGTTTCATTGAAATTCTTAACACAAAAGAAGGTGTCCTTACCTGTGCCATTAATCATGTCACAATAACTTGGCCAATAGGTGAGATTCCTTAGGAAGTAAAAAGAAAAAACAAAAATAATAAAGCATTCAAATTTTAAGAGCAGCTTTCTTTCTCACATTATTTTCTTGTATTGTCATTTAACACTTCTGCTAATATAATGAAGATTAACTGTGCCAAACGGTTAAGTTTAAGTCTTTTTTAAAATTAATCTGGTCCATTTTTGTTTGAAGGTTTGTTCTTGTTGAGATGAATTAAGTGCTTGACCCCTCTAAGTGGTCAGATAATAAAAGAAAAGCTGCCAAACTCCAAGTTAATTAAAAACAACTTGGAATATAAACAGTTGTGAAACCAGAAACTTAGATATCTACTTTGTTGTTGGTAAGTGTCATCTAGTCGGTTCCGACTCACAGTGACCCTATATAGGTTTTCCAAGGATCAGTTGGTAGATTTGAACTGCCGAGCTTGTATTTCACAGTAGAGTGCTGGTCCTACAGCACCATACCAGGAGTTGAGATATCTACTTGTTGTTCTTGGGCGCCATCGAGTCAGTACCGACTCATAGCAATCCTATGTACAACAGAACAAAACACTGCCCGATCCTGGGCCTTCCTCACAATTGTTGCCACACTTGAGC